CTGTTATGTTACACATGTACTGTAATAACAGAAATAATGTTCATAGAAATTAATAACTTAACATGTAAAAGAAGCACATGAACAAGAGTAGCCAAGAGAGAATTTATAGAGCTCATCTTGGAAAAGGAAATGTGTTTGCTACCACGCTGCATTCAGATCATAATTCTGATTGCAAAAGCTGCCAGACAACAAAGACTAGAAATTTTTTTTAAACTGACTCCATCTAGGAATAAACACACATAAACTAGCCTACTGGACACAAGAAAGGAGGATATGTCAGTGTTGGTGGTGATTAGCTCATGCCCATCTAGCTGTCTGTATGGAGTTTGGATGTCTGTGCGTGTTCTCTGCGGTTACTCAGCTGTTGTCCCACAGTCCCACTTAGCAGGATTATTTTAACAGGTGATTGTAAATTGGCAATATGTGCAAATGTGACAGTAAATGTAGGGCTGGATATTCACAAATCTGGAAATACATACTGTATACATAATTGACAGTTATCCATACCTCATTTATTTCATGATTTTATTTCATTATATACCTGTGGCACAGTGGTTAGCACTGTTGCTTTACAGCAAGAAGGTTTGAATTTCATCTCCACTATGTGGCCGGGGCCTTTCTATGTGGAGTTTTCATGTTTTACCCGTGTTTGTGTGGGTTCTGTCCGGGTATGTTGCATGCAGTTAGAGGTATTAGGTAAACTGGTGATTCTAAATTGCACATAGGTGTGAATGAGAGTGTGAATTTTTGTCTGTATCTGTGTTAGGTCTGCAACAGACTGGCAACCTGTCCAGAATGTACCCCGCCTCTTGTCCAATGGTAGCTGGGATAGGCTTTGGCCCTCATAAGGATAAGCAGAAGAGACTGAATGGATGGATCTGCACTCTGCACATATAAATATAAATATGCTTTATTTTCTGTGTCATGTTGCTATTGTCTGTTTGTCTACTCTGTTAAGGACATAAGCTAAATTACTTGTATGTGTACACATACCTGATATTCTACACTATAATCTACAAATTGTATAACATATACTATATTTCTGAAATATTATGTTTTAAATTATGGCTCCACTGTGTAATTGTTTACACATTTGCCTACAAAGTGAACAATCCCCTGTTATATCCCGGGAGGTGACAAATCCCTCGGGTTGCATCAACACAGGCATCTGGCATAAAAATGTGCCAAATCAAACATGCAGAGGTTCCTGCAGTGGTGATCATGTGGGAATAAGGGCACATCTTTAAGTAGCTTTATACAAATATTTCCACTACACTTTGTGTAGTTTGTCTACTAGAAAGATTGTCTCTGGCATCAAGTCATGCATTCCAGAACTTCAGGTGAAATGGAAATGTTCATACATGCTGTCATACCTCAATTACTGTCCAGAACGCTGCTTCAAGGATTTGCACGGAGTCCTCTATAAGGTAATGTGTGACGTCTTTACATAGGCTAGTCATAAAGTAGGATTGGTAAATGCACTGTTCTTGTATAGTGCTTTTCTACTGTACTTGAGTACTCAACGAGCTTTATACAACATGGTCCATTCACACATTCATACAGTCACTTTTTCCTGTGCCTAAGTTCTTTCTATGTAGTATCCACACACATTCCCACTCTCATGAAAGCATCCGAGAGCATCTTGGGGTTCAGTTTGCAGGTGGTACCTCTCTTCACATTACAGAAAATAAAGAGACTGCTTTTGAGGTTGTAATTTCCAACCTGTGGAAGTCGCTTCAATTGGTCTTGAGCTGTGTTGTTTTAATGTTACAAATATATACATTTTTAGAACATTTTCTGATTCACTATCTGTGATTTGCTTAAAAATGTTAATCTTTTGGTTCAAAGTTTGAACATATGTGCTTTTACCTTCATATATCATAGTTTTCAGGCCATTTTGGCACATTGAAATCTGAGGCCATACTTTTATCTTTAAAAACAATTAAAGATAAAAGTATGACATTTGTATTTCCCTTTCTTAATTTAGATCTATAATTTGAAAGAAATACATTACAATATCTGATATTTCACTAGTTAGAATATTTTAAAAACCCAGGGAAGGTAATAAGGTAATAACCTGAAATTCTTAAACATGAAAATTAAGAAAATTATATTTTCATTCAACTTTTATGCTCAGCATTTATTCAGACGGTTATCATACCCTTTCTCTGATCTCGCCTTACCTCTGGCAGCCGTGGCATTGTGGTTAGAGTTGGGGTAAGGGAGCTAGGTGTTAAGCTGAGGTATTTAGGGTTCGTGTCTTATTAGCATCAGACTACCAATTCTGTCATGTGGACACAGCAGCTGGGTCTGGCAAGACTACATTATTATTCTAGGGGCCATGTTATTCATTGCTAAGTATATAAATTACTTGCTTGATGTTAAATAAGGAAATGGACTTCATGCCTATGAATAAACACAATTTAGTCTATGGAAAGCACCAGCACAGTTTGGTAGATTTTTAAGTGTTTTTTACTTCTTCTTCTTCTTCTTCCTTCCCCTTTAAATTAGTAAGTTTTTTTTAATTACTATTGATATTTCATGTGTTTTCATCATAGCACATGAAATATAAATCCTTTGAAGTATACATATATAATATCTGCTTCTCTGTCTCTGTTAGGTTAGAATATATAATCATTTTTCTAAAGCTCCCATTCCTTAATCAGCCCAAAGATACTTCTCTTCTGCCTGATTGCATTCACAGACCCATATCAGCAGTAGCATCTGGAGACTTTGTGGAACTGCCTTGATGTGGCAGATAAGCTGCCCATTATAGATAGGTCAGCAAACCCTCTGCTTAAGAAATGTATAATTTTGTCTTTTTTTCTATTTAAGAGCCCCTTGCAGGTTTAGAGTAAATATTGTCAAATGGCCAGACTACAAAATCAGCAGTGTTTGAGTTCATATCTTTGCAAGCATTTATACTTTGAAATGCTGGACTAATTCGTCATATAGTAAAATGGAAAAACTTTGGGGAAAATACCTTTCATTGCCTCTATATAGTCTTTAAGTGTCTTTAAGTGCCAGTCTTAATCCTATAATTTGCTGCCCTCTTGATGGCCACAGTTAGTTGTTGTCTTTGGGAGCTGGACTTCTGGACTACCAGTAATGGTAAATGGTAAATGGCCTGCATTTATATAGCGCTTTACTCAGTCCCTAAGGACCCCAAAGCGCTTTACACTACATTCAGTCATTCACCCATTCACACACACATTCACACAC